AGAGATGTGTATAAGAGACAGGTGCCATGTCTTTCCGTTATCCGATCGAGCTCAGCTTTTACACAATTTTTTTTCTCATTAAATGGAACAACTTTAGGGGGCGTCGTGAAAAAAATTCGGAAAAAATTTTTCACCAAGTATAAATAAGGTTCACCCTAATATACAGTTACATTATATTTACTGATACGTACTAATTGGCACTTTTTCGTAAAATTTTATTAATTAGCATTTATATTTTACTACTCCTTATTAGCTGTCTCACTCTATCTTTTAATTTTGTCTCACACAACATTGTGTTTTAATTACGAGCAAAGACTTGAACAGACATGATATATAATTAACTCAATTAGCTAATAATTGTTTTTTAAAAGTTTTTAAAATATTTATTTAATATTATAATATTAATTAAATATTTTAAAAATATTTACAAATCATTGTTTGTTGATTGGGAAGCAGTTATCGTGCACGACTTTATAAAATTTGAATCCAAGGGTTTATGATCTTCGAACACCTTAATATATATAGTCTCCCCTTAATGAATATAAACAGTAAATAATAATTAACATTTTTAATATCTATTAAACATATTTAATAAATTACTAAAACATATTTAGGAACAAGCTAGGATATATAAATAATTATAAAAATAAAACATTTTTTTATAAAATTACTTCACTCGATTTTTTTTTCCAAAAATTATTATATTAGCGAAATTGATTTTTAGTATTTAATATTAAAATTGAAAGATCTTTTTTAACTTTTCAAGTATATTGTAACTGACTGTAAGAACACTTGTCATTCTTTTGAATATCAAAAATAATTATTCGCTGCTACTTTTTGTTAAAGCTACTTGAGATAATTGTATAATACAAAGTCTAAAATCGGGATGACGTAAAATGTTTTTTAGATGGTTCTTGTAAATGTGTTTTTAAGATGATTTTTAACTTATTTAGACGTTTTCGAGACATCTTATGTTTCGATTTTTTGTGTTCTCTTTGGAATTTGCACGTGCTATCCAAAAGTAAGCAAAATTATTTTTACACACGGAGCGGTCAACTTAATTTTTTTTAACACCTTTGATTTGATTCACAAATACAATAAATAATATTTTAATGAATATGTTAATTATATTATACATGTTATTATAATCATATCTTATTGTTAAGAAAGTCGCTGTTTCACGCGCCAAGTATGTATATATTGTTAACGAATATAGTCATTATCTGTTGTTCCAACGATTTGCGGACTTGCATCACGCTTAACTGTTTAAATTACCTTATTTTTTTATTTAAAGTTATGGTAGGGTTCTTGATGCTTTGGCACGTAGGTATATTAGATCTTCAGCCCCAAAAGCCCATTCCATATACATATAAATAAACGCGCTACTGGAAATCATATATATGATTTTAATATATAATAATCTTAGAACATCCCAGTGAGAAACAATTTGTCGACCCGACGTCGATTCGACGTCGAAAAGGGGGTTCGAAATGAGATCGAAATTGACATCGACATCGATGTCTTTTTGACTCCCATGTCGACCTCCTGTCGATTCAAACTGCGAAATCGATTTGACATTGATCATAAATCAAAATCCTGCCCAAGGAGAACAGAAAGATCAAAATGACATAAAAATAAGATCAAATTTTAGTTTGTCAAAATGATGTCAAATTGCATAAATTTTTGATGCATTCTTGATCATTCCCTGAATGAGAAATGATCGCCAATTCGATATACTTATTTACGGAAATTCCTAAAACGATCACCCATCCAAGCCATGAAC